GGCCAGCCAACCACCCACGGCCCCTCCCTCCCTCCAGCCCGATGGGCCCCCATTGGGATGGGCCGGCTGGACCCTACCCATGCATGAATTCGTGCATTGGGCCTCTTGTTCTCTAATAACAATGGTTCGCTGAGCCTAGACTATTTATGCAAACAATGTGGTTTATGTTGTACATGTGCGTTGCATCTGGTGCTGAGCAGAAGAGTACCTATGTGACTATCCCCTGATAAAAACTCTGAGCACTGAGTGTCTATGGAGCTTTCCTGGCAGACATTTCATGTTTGTTGTCATAGCTCATTGCTAGAGGACTAAGTGTGTCCTGGGAGAAGACTCTTAGAATCCTGTGCCTGGTTTCCTCTGGTCTAGGCCCCATGTGCCTTTTCCCTATGCTGACTGTGCTTTGTATCCTTTCACTTAAATAAGTCACCACCATAAGTACAACTACATAATGAGTCACCCCAATGAGTCACTGAACCTGGGAATGCTCTTGGGGCCCTCCGATACATGTATATACGTACACACATGTACATATAGACACTCACACATACATTGAAAGGGCATTCTAGAGCTGAGACTAAGAACTCATTAGATGGGTTCAAAATCATACTACAGAGACAATCTGAAACATGTATGTATCTAACAAAAGAATATCAAAATACATACAACAAAAACTGATAAAACTGAAAGGAGAAACAGACAGATTGTAGTTGGAGACTTCAATGCTCCTCTCTCAGTATTGAGAGATCGAGCAGGCAGAAAGTCAGTAAGTATATGGATGACCTGAGCAACACTATCATTCAACATGATCTAACTGACTTTATCCCAAACAATAAAATATACATTTTGTCACTCCGTTCTAGCTCACATGGAACAGTCACCAAGACAGAACATAGCCCAGGCCACAAAACACACGTTAATGAATTTGAAACAATAGTTGATCATACAAAATATGTCCTCAGACCATAATAGGATTAAATAGAAATTAATAAGCACGCGACAACTGGAAAATCCCCCAAATACTATTTGTGTTATTAAAATCCCCCAAATACTAAATGTGTTATTAAACAACACATTTATAAATAACTTATAGGTCAATAAAGAAATCTCAAAAGAAATTTTAATATATTTTAAATAAAATGAAGATGAAAATGCCTCTCATCAAAATTTGTGGGATGCAGTGAAAGCAGTGCATAAAGGGAAAGGTATAGCATCAAATGTATATGTTAGATATACAAGTTTTTAAATTGGTAACCTGTGATGTCAGAGGAATGATGGTGTGAGAGATCCCCTTGGTCTCGCCCCTTGAAATTTCAACAATTTGAATAGCTATAATTCAACAAAGAATTCTTTGTTCAACACACAAACATGTTTGAGAGATCTTCACATTGAAACATCTAAAGGTGGGCAAGTGGGAGCCAACCAGGGTGACAAGAAGGGAGAAGAGTTTAAAGGAGCCATGGACTCAGCCCTGCAGTCAAGAGCTCATTGTGGGGCTCAGCCTAGACCAATGATGGCGAACCTATGACACGCGTGTCAGAGGTAACACGTGAACTCATTTTTTTGGTTGATTCTTCTTTGTTAAATGGCATTTAAATATATAAAATAAATATCAAAAATACAAGTCTTTGTTTTACTATGGTTGCAAATATCAAAAAATTTCTATATGTAACACGGCACCAGAGTTAAGTTAGGGTTTTTCAAAATGCTGACATGCCGAGTTCAAAAGGTTCGCCATCACTGGTCCAGACAGAGGAATCTTGTGAATGGCACTCCCTTCAGCCAAAAGAAGCCAAGAGATTTAGTAAGCATTCCTGCAGGAGTGGGCAGTATGAGCTTCAGCTGAGCCCAGTGTCCAGGGCAGGGACAAAGCACAGAGATGTGGCCATGGTTGTCTGGCAATTGGCTTTCCAGACAGAGAATTCCAGACAAAGCCCAGGAGCCTGGCCACCTTCCTTAAACCACCCAGAGCTCGCCTCCCTTCACCCTTCGTGTTAGGTTGCAGAGCACATTATCTGCAAACCCGAGAAATGTTACTGCAGAAACACTTTCTCTGAGCAAAGGGCGCACTCTGTGACTAATCGCAGGGATGGGTGGAGGCACACAGGGGACTCCACGGAGGTCCACTGGTCACCATTGCTGGAAGGGCAAAGCAACAAAGGAGGCAACCAGGTCTCATCAACTCACCTCACCCCTAAAAACTGTTTGGCAGTTTCTCACAAAGAAACACAGTCTTATTTAATACATGATCTAGCAATTTCACACCCTAGGTGTTCAAAAATTTACATCCATGCGAAAACCTACATGGGAATGTTTCTAGAAGTTTAATTCAGGATGCCAAAAACTGTAAGGAAACAATTCTAAAATCACTTATACATGTATGCTGAAACTAAATAATTAAAGTGAAATTCGAATGGTGGTAGCCAGATTCTCATTGTTAGTGTGGGAGATTACAGACAAGCAAGGGGAGAAGGCTAGATAGAATGTTCCATGTGGCAATGATTACAGCAAGAGACATCAATATGGACTAATAGTTACTATAGATACAGATGGTTACATACTGAAATACTTATAGATATGTATATATACGTGAGTTAGTATAGACATCTATTTTTCCTTGTTCAGTCAGCTGAGAGGGTGTCTACAAGCAATGACACACCAGCAGCAATAGCCTCCCAATCTTGGTTTCAATAAAAGAAACCAGAGCAATTACCAAAAAACAAATAATATACCAAAACATAATAGTTTGTAACACATATAATAAACAAGCATTAGTATCCCTAATATAAATAAAGAGCTAACTAGCCACTGAAAAAAGGAAGCCAGAAACTTAGGAGCAAAATGGGCAATAGGTATGAAGAGATAGTTCACTGAAACATAAATACAAGACAACTTTTAGATACATGAAAAAATATTCAGCCTCACTCAGAATTCAGAAAATTGCAGATGCAAACTACATAAAATATCACTTTTTACTTACTAGTTGCCAGAAGTTGAACCACATAGTGTATAAAAAATAGCTGAGGAGAAACAAGCACTCTCATGTAGTGTAAAGGGAACATAAAATGATATTATAATTCCACCAAACTGATCAAGTTTATACATTTTTATTCACCCTTTGATCTGACAACTCCACTTATGGTAATTTATTTGATGGAATAAATCTATACTTACAAGGTTATTCATTAAAACATGGCTTGTAACAGAAAAAGGTTAGAAATAGTTAATAACTAGTTGAATAAACTATGGGACATTCACGATTGAATTACTATACAGTTATAACACAAAAGAAACAGCAATCCATGTTCTGTTATAGAGAGTTCTCTGGGACAGGATGAAAAAAGGTAAAAGAAAATGCCGAAAAGGGAAAATAGTGTATAGATTTGCTATTTGGTGTGGTAACTAACAGCTGAATCAGCTTCATTTGGGAGGTTATTAAAAATATAGAATTCAAGACTCTACCCAGCTCTACTAACTACATCAAAAATCTGCATTTTAACAAAATGTACAGATGCATCTAAATTTGAGAAGCATTTAAGGAAGCATTTTAAATAGAGAGGGCATACAAGAATATGCACGCATATTTTCTTTTAATTGAATAAAGAAACACTTGAAAGGTAAACAAGAAATCATTAATAATGGATACCAACAGTAGGGTGACCATGCACTTCAGTTTGTCTGGAACTGCTCCAACACCTGCCAGTTGTCCCAGCATAATTGTTTGTAGAACCTCTTTCATTCTCAGTGAAAACGTCTCAGTTTAAGTGATAAGTAAATGTCACCAAACAGAGAGGGAGCATCAGGTACAGAGAAGATGGAAGTGTGAGTTTTTAAGTTACTGTCTTCTATATCACATGTTTAACCATGTTAATATATTACCAATTCAAAATTATTTTATTTAAAAAAAAAAAAAAGCAGTACGGGTCATAAAAAATAGGTAGACTGAGGAGAGCAATGGGCCAAGAACAGATAAAAGGAAAAGACACTTCATGGGGGACAGAGTAGGTAAAGACAGCTAGGAGGGCAGTGCCACAGACAACAGAGGACACTTTCAAAACAGGCGATAGATCAGCGTGCCAAGTACTGCAGAGGAGGCAAGTAAGACAAAGACAAAAGCTGGATTTTACTACAATTTGGTGGCCTTTTCCAGAACTGATTCAAGGTGCAGTGGTGATGCAGCAAGACTGCCTTCATTAGGTTGAAATGTAAATGACAAATGCAGAAATGAACGTCAGAGCTGTCTACTACTCACGCTAGAAATACAAACGCGCCGACACAAACATTTATGGGGAGTTATTTGGGGACATAAAGTCCCTCCATTCAGCCAGATCTTCCAGGTTTTTATTCCTGGATCAAGCAGGACCATGAACAGCTGTGGACTCACACCTCACTGTTGGGTCTCCTGAAAAGTATACCCACCGAGTTCTGCCTTAGCATTTACTGTTTCCACCAAAGAATGATTATAGGTGACAGAATGCATGTATGTCAGTATTGTCATTAGAAAGATCAGAGAAAATTTTACAATAACTTGGGTAACTGTAAAACTAAACATCTTGCCCCTGATTTTACCAACTGTCCTTTTGGATTTACTTCTCTTGTTACGTTTCCCTTAACGTAAAACTTTGCCTATTTCTACTTTTTCATTTTAAAAATATGAACCCTTATAAAATTTAGAAAACACATTTTAAAACAAGTGGGAATACATAAACAAAACACTCACCTGGGGTTTGTTCATTTTCTGTTCTTAGAGGAGGAGGCAGTGCTAAGGGAGAAGGAAGAAGGAAGTCAGGAGAACTGGCCTGCCGTGCAGTTCCTGGACTGACCTGCCTGCACAGCTCCACACGCAGGATACTTACATGTCCAAGTGTGGCTCCAATACATGCTGAACTTAGACATGACACTTTTCACTGAGTGAGTGTAATATTTGTTTCTTACTGATTTATTACCAATTTAGGGTCTGCGACACAAAAATTAAAAACATAAGAAGATTCGTTTAACATAGAACAGTAATATAAAGAAGGAAACACCATGGATTTGTTAAAACTGATGTTGTAGAGAAAAAGAAACCCTCAAGCCATATTGCTTATCTCTTTACCTGCGAGCAACATTAATCCTTTGGGGTCAAATAATCCAAGAAACCCCTGAAAAAAAGGGATGGGGATGTTTACGACCAGGTAATATTTTTAATGTTTGTTCTAACCTGCTCACAATTTTCAAAAAGATCTTTTAATAAGGAACCAGCTTTGACCTAACTGACAAAATGAGCAGTAGCTCAGGGGTCTGCAGACCTACCTTTCATCTCGGTCCCACCACTAATACATGGCATGATCTGAGCCGGTCACCTTCTCAGACTCATTTTTTAAAAAACCTTTCAAATGAGGTCAAACGAAATCATCCAGAAAGGCCCTGCCCGCAGAAGGCCAGGAGAGGGGGGACCTCGCATCTTCTCTAGGTGCCATCAACAATCATCCTCAGGACGCTGCAGACAGCTCACCTCCGGAAGAGTGGACCGAGGACCGAGGACCGGAGGCGTAGCGGGTATTTGGGGAGGAATTATGACAATTTCCTCAGCTGTCGCTGGTGAGCCTTCCATCCCCACGACAAGGTCACGAGCTCGCCAAAGGGGTGGCATGTGCTGCACAGCCTGTGCGCCGGCCTCTCGGCTCCAGCTCACCTCTCTCCTCTTCCCATCACACAGCCTCCCATGGCCTTCAGAGGCTGTGCCGTGATTACACATGACCCACAGCAAATGAGCACATAATGAATACTAACTTGGGGTCTGGAGAAAGCT